AAATAATCACTTTCTTTCTCCCTGTGTTCTCACATGGCAGAAAGGTGAAAACACAGTTTTTTAATACAGCAGTTTGAGCACAAATGTGATCTAGTTATAACTCGTTTGTAGTTCTAATTTTTGTTATTTTACTTGGATTTTTTCTTGAACAGCATGAAATTAGTTGTGTGGTTTGTGGTCAGCAGTTTCTGTTCCATGAAAAACAAATTGAAAGAGTTATATATTGGGCCTCCCCGGTGGCACAGTGGTTGAGCGCTGGGCTGCGAAGCTGCCAGCAGCCTCCACGGTGCCGTTTCAATCCCCGGCCGCCGGCGAGGGTCCCACATGGCACGCAGACCTCTCCTGCCACGTCCACTGTTCCCCTCAGCAGTGTGCCTCGGTCCCCCTGCCTGTCCTGCTCCCCGCTCTGGCTCTGGTGAATTCTTTCGCCCTCCCGCGGCTCTGACTGTGCCCAGTGCTTGTATAAATAAATAAATAAATAAAACCAAAAAAGAGAGTTACATATTTTTAAAAATCCAGAAGCCTGTGAATCTTGTCTGTATAGGAAAGTAGGCCATACCCCTTCTGAAGGTCTCAGAAAAAAATATTATGTAGAACCATTGAGGGAGAGGTTGCTTGGAAATGAAGCATTGATTCTTCTTATCTTCTGTCTGTAGGCAAAGCACAGTGGTGTAACAGGGTGGTCACCAGGAAAGGGGGAGGTTCCAGGTTCCCTGCCCCACCCAAGGGAGGGTGGAGCTGAGCAGGGAGAGAAGAAGCTGCAGAGGAGACTGAGGAAGGAAGAAAGAAGGATGGAGAGCAAGAAGGAGACCTAAAGGAGGCGCATGGAGCCTAGAGACACGTGAAGAAACTGCGCTTGTCTTTTTGGTCGTGGACGGGGTGACACAGATGTGGGGGAGACCCGTGGAGAGGTGGCCATGGCAGCTTTTATCTTGATTTTGATTTTTCTCTTTTCCTTCCGGGCTTATCTGGTTGTTTCTGACCCTTTTCTGTGGGTCCCCACTGGAAGATGCTTTGGACTTATGACAGGCTTTGGGGCCTTGCTCTGGGCCAATCCTGCTTAGGTGGACTTTTACCCATGAGGGGACGGGTAACTTTGGGTGCTTGATTTAGAAACTAGATTCTTTGCCTTTCCTGTATTGTTTCCTAATTGTATTAAAGTTTCTTCCCAGTAAAGTCTCATATGTTTTGTGTTGACGTGGCGGATGGCAGAACCCATTTAGAGCAGGCAGGTTTTCAGGGTCTGGGCTGCCCCTCTCCCTGCCCTATAACAGTGGGAACCCAAGCACACATCCACTGCTGACATTGGTGACAGTCCCCATTCACTTCAGCTTCACTTTGAATTGAGTGAAGATGGCAATCAGCTCTCCTTTGGATCTTCCCAAAGAGTTTTTTTTTTTTTTTTAATTTTTTTTTAATTTATTTATACAAGAACTGGGGTACAGGTCAGTGGCATGGGAGGGTGAGAGGATTCACCAGAGAGAGCAGGGAGCAGAACAGGCAGACCACCGAAGACACTGCTGAGGGGAGCAGCGGGTGGGCAAGGGAGGAGAGGTCTGCACCGTGCCATGTGGGCCCCGTGCCAGCGCTGAACCCGCTGCGCCACCAGGAAGGCCCTCTTTCCAAAGAGTTTATGCCGAATGTAAGGACAGCATTCCTTATATTCCAACTTTAAAATAGCTGGAATATCCTTTGTGGCCATTGCTTTTTATCCTGTTTCTTATCAGTACTTATGATTCCATCTATATTTTTCTTTGTGTCTTTGAATCTACCAAATTGAGGAGGAAAAAAAAAAACCATTGTTTTGCATTGGTTCTTTCTGTTGAGTATTGTGGGGTTTCTGTTTCATTTTGGTTTATTTATTTTGAGTGTCTTCTTTATACTAAAGGTGAAGGGTACTCTTTCTGTTTAATGGTCAGCATGTTATGGTGATAAATGTGTAAACTCACCTTTCAGTGAGGTCAAGGTACAAGATGCTTTGGGGATATGAAGGAGGGAGGAGTACGTAACCAATTCAGTCTTTACATATGATATATTTGAGCTGAATCTTGAAAGGTCAATATTTTGTGATGGGTAATTAATGAGATATTTTGTATGGTTAATAACATTTATTGAATAGTCATGGGTACTGTGTTTTTCATTCATCTGATCCTCAGAATAACCCTCTAAGGTATAGCTACTATTCCTAACTCTGTCAGGTTGAGGGCATTGAGACTTAGACTTAGGGATTTCCCTCGTTCACACAGTAGAAAAGTAGTCTAGCAAATCTTTTTGACTCTGAAGTCCATGTTCTTAACTGTCACATTATCTTGTATAAAGTCCATTCTATTAAAGAGAAAGATGAAAGCAACTTCAGTGAAATGGTATTTTTGCCCAGTTTTGAGGTATAAAAAAGACAGTGTGAGGGAAAGATATTCTAAACCGAGGGAATACATTTGTAAAGGCATGGAGTACCACAATGAAGTTAGTTCCGTGTATCAGGAGTAGAATTTCTAAAGTACAGTCAGAATCTCTTGGATTGGATGTCAAACTGCAGATTTTTTGACCTTTTCTTCAGAAGCTTCCCCCCAGTGATTCTTACCACAATAAAGTTGGAGTACATATGTAGGGTTGATGTTGGTGAGAGGGCAGAGATGAGTCTGGACAGGTAGGCATGAGTCTGCTTCATTATTATAAACTCTTAATCTTTGTGTAGAATTTTCTTTTCTCCTGTACTTACAGGAATGCATTTGTTTTTCTTCTGATCTTAAAATCAATCAGCTCTTGACAAAGGACACTCTGGTATATAGCTTCCCTTTGTTTATTTATTCATTATTTTTAAAGATTTATTTATTTATACAAGAACTGGGGTACAGGTCAGGTACGCGGGTGGGTGACAGGATTCACCAGTCACAGTGCGTGGAGCAGAGCAGGCAGACTGACGAAGTACACTGCTAAGGGGAGCAGCTGGTGAGACAGGAGAGGTCTGCCGCATCATGTGGGACCCTCGCTGGCTGGCCAGGATCAAACTGGTGTTGCAGAGGCTGCGGACAGCTTCACAGCACTGTGCTGAACCACTGCATCACCAGGGGAGGCCCAGCTTCCCTTTATTATGTGCATGCTTTTGCTAAAATTGGAGTTCCTCAAGGTCAAAGCATGCAGCACCCCAGGAACTACACTCGATAGTGTTGTATAACTTTATTGATTAATTTCTCAGGCTTTCATATACTGATTAAGGTGGTATGTATTAACATAATCCAAGATGAGGATTTCACATCTTCTGGAACTAAGGCCCATTGAAACATGTATTTGAAAAAGCTTCAATAGATATATTTCCTGGGCCTCCCTGGTGGCGCAGCGGTTGAGCGCTGGGTTGCTAAGCTGCCCACAGCCTCTGCAGCACCGGTTCAATCCCCAGCCACCGGCGAGGGTCCCATATGGCGCGCAGACCTCTCCTGCCACCTGCTGCTCCCCTCAGCAGTGTACTTCAGTCCTTCTGCCTGCTCTGCTCCCTGCTCTGGCTCTGGTGAATTCTCTCACCCACCCGCGCTTCTGACTGTACCCAGTGCTTGTATAAATAAATAAATCTTTAAAAAAAAAATAGATATATTTCCTCAAGGAAGTTATTATGTAACTTGGTGTTAGTTGTTTTATCAATTTTTAAAGGTAAGTTATTATGTAAATTCAGCTGAGTTTGACTCTTAGTAGATGAAAAACTAATGTCCTGAATTTGTTTAGTTCTTACAAGAATTTCATTTGATGTTCATGTATGAGTTTGGAATTTACAAGCAAATGTTTGTTTTATGGCATTTTTATTATTTACTTTGTAATTCAAAAAATGACATCTCTGTGCCACATATATTGTGGCCCTAACTATAGTGTGAATGAGTGTAAGAGTGGGGTGACATGGGACATGATAAGACATTTCTGGACCCTCAGTACTCAGTTTCTCTGACAGTTAATTAGGGAATTTTTTACTTATGTTATTAAGAAAATGGCATTTAAACGGCAATTTCTACTGTTGATTTATTGTACTCATCTGATTTAAAAATCTTATTTCATATTTTAAGTTTGCAATTTAAAAATCAGTCTGAAAGTTTTGAATTATGTTTTGGTAACATTTAAGCTTAATTTTATACTTTCTAATAGACTGTTTTACTAATATTGGTGTCAGTTTGTTAATGCAGTGAAACCCTAATAAGCCTGATTTTGAAATTAAGAGCTAGAGAGTTATAGACTTTCACCTCAGTAGTTTTCATTCATTTCTGTGCTGATGTGCACATAGCTAGGAAAGTAGTGATGTGCATTGATGAATACAAATGGAAACCCTTTTTTTTTCCTCTGCATCTTCTGTTAGACTTATTCAGAGCTTTGACGTGAATAGTAACAAGAAATTTATTTTTCAGGTTGAATCACCAACAACACACAACAGTTGTTCATATGCTTTATCAAACTATAAAATCAGAACACGTAAAGGGCCAAAACTCCACGATAGAACATTAATACATTTCCTTCCTAGCACAAGAGTATGTGAATTAGAAGGAAAACCTCTTGTAGAAAGATTATATTACAAGATATGCAAGACTATGTGATTGGTTTGTTGTGTAACATATACAAGCAGTAATTTTTCATCATTTTTTAAAAAATACATGAAAAAATAGCTATGGATTACATCTTCATGCATGGTTTGGGCCTGCCCAGGAGGTAGTTTGAAAACACCCCCGCCTTTTTTTTTTTTAATCCAGCTCTTCAGAATGGAAATCTCCTAGATAGTGATCTGGATAATGATTTCAAAATTTATTTTGGTGAAGGCCGGATATCCTTTTTGGGATCTAAGTCAGTCTTCTCACAGAGAGATGGCCTTCTTGAAAGCAGGGTAGGACAAGATCGGTATAGGTATTGAATAAGATACTGTACTTTTAAATGTGCATATTCCTACATTTTAAAACATTGTTGAAAAATTCTCACATTTTGCTACCAAACTTTTTTGGTGCTTCATTTTTTTCCCCTTTATTTTTCAGAACGAACCAAGTGATCGAGAAGATGTCCTCAACCAAAGGCGCCGTGCGCCAGACTCTGACAACGATGACCCCGCACATCTTAATGCCAGTGACTCTGAGATTGAGGAGCTGCATAGGCAGAAGGACAGTGACTCTGAATCTGAAGACCACGCAGAGCCTCCTGCAAGTGATTCCGAGAATGAGGATGCCAATCAGCCTGGGAGTGACTCTGAGAGTGAGGAGCCCAGGAAATTACCTGCCAGCGACTCAGAAAATGAGGAACTTCTTAATGGTCATGCAAGTGACTCTGAAAATGAAGATGCTAGAAAGCATCCTGCCAGTGATTCAGAGATTGAAGAGCTCCCCAAAAGTCCTGCTAGTGACTCTGAAACGGAGGATACTCTGAAACCTCGAATCAGTGACTCCGAGAGTGAGGAAGCTCCAAGGCACCAAGCCAGTGACTCTGAAAATGAAGAGCTTCCCAAACCTCGAATTAGTGATTCTGAAAGTGAGGAGCTTCCCAAGCCCCGTGTCAGTGACTCAGAAAGTGAGGATCCCCCAAGGCACCAAGCCAGTGACTCTGAGAATGAGGAGCTTTCCAAGCCTCGTATCAGTGACTCAGAAAGTGAGGATCCCCCACGGCATCAACCTAGTGACTCAGAAAATGAAGAGCTTGCCAAACCGCGTATCAGTGACTCAGAAAGCGAGGATCCCCCGAGGCACCAAGCCAGTGACTCTGAGAATGAGGAGCTTCCCAAACCCAGGATTAGTGATTCGGAAAGTGAGGACCCCCCAAGGAACCAGGCCAGTGATTCTGAAAATGAGGAGCTTCCCAAGCCCCGAGTCAGCGACTCTGAGAGTGAGGAGCCTCAGAAAGGACCTGCCAGTGATTCAGAAACTGAGGATACCTCCAGACACAAAGAGAAACCAGAGTCAGATGACAGTGATGGGGAGAATAAGGGAGAGGATGCGGAAATGCAGAATGATTCCTTTCATTCAGATACCCACATAGACAGGAAGAGATTTCACAGTTCTGACAGTGAAGAGGAAGAACCCAAAAGGCCAAAAATTGACAGTGATGAAGATGAAGAAAAAGAGCAGGAGGAGAAAGCAAAGCGGAAAGCTGCCGTGCTTTCTGATAGTGAAGATGAGAAAGCATGTAAGGAAGTACTTGGGACTTTACTTCATATGTAAATATCTGTTAAGCTTTACTCAATGTCTATGCTTACAATTATGAAGTTTTTTTGTATTTTTGTTTTTTCTGGTATGATAGATGATGTTTGTTTTTTCTGTTTCATTCAGCTTGATCTATATTTGATCTAGGAAACTGATTTTCATTGACTAACCTACATTTTCTTTTAGTTCCAGCAGCATTTATTAAGTTCCGTGTCAGAATATAAACTAGACCTAGTTTCATTGGATTTGTGGGGAGAGGAGGAGGAGGGGAGTGTTTCAAAGAAAGTTTACATGAAAACCTGGCTATACCAGATTGGCTGTGAATCTGCTTGACAGCTCATGTATTACATAAACATCCAAACAGTGGCTGGACCCCCACCATCACCTCTCTTTAGCATTGTTAAATACCCAAATACAAGAAATGGATGAAGGGGGCTCTTATTTACAGACTTCATGTCTCTGCAGAATATTCTTTGCTACCTGAACTTTGTTTCCATGTATAACAATTTTTACTTGATTGCTTTATTATGAAACTTGCCTTTTATGAAAAAGACATTCCATTACAAACAGTTATTATAGGAGAAGGAAAAGGTGTACCACACACATGCCAATTTACTAAGGGAGCAAGAGATTCCAAACTCATTAGCAGTGATTAAGGAACCTGGGGATTCAGAAGAGTAGCCAAGCCTTTTTAGCTCTGGTGGTAGTAGGTAACATAGAAGGGATTCTAATTCTGCACATCAGTCTACCTCATTTTTTTTTTAAGATTTATTTTTTATTGATGCACACAAGAACTGGGGTGAAGACCAGAGGTGTGGGGAGTAAGAGGATTCACCAGAGACAGAGTGGGGAACAGAATAGGCAGAAATACTGAAATACACTGCTGAGGGGAGCAGCGGGCAAGACAGTAGAGGTCTGCTGCGCCATGTGAGTCAGCTCCCTGAACTCGTGCTGCAGTAGCTGCCTGTAGCTTCATAGTGCTGAGACTTAGCCTTCTGCACCACCAGTGAGGCCCCTACTTATTTCTTGTATTCCCCAAAAGGAAAGGTAGGGTGCTTCCCTGGTGGTGCAAGAGTTAAGTCTCAGCACTAAGAAGCTATCGGCAGCCACTGCAGCATAAGTTCGGTCCCCAGCCAGGGAGCTGACCTACATATGGCGCAGTAGACCTCTCCTGTCTGCCCACTGCTCCCCTCAGCAATGTATTTCAGTCAGTCCGCCTGTTCTGCTCCCCACTCTGTCTCTGGTGAATCCTCTCACCACCCCTCCATCCTCCGTACCTCTGGCCTGCATCCCTGCTCTTGTATGCATAAATAAATAAATCTTTTTTTTTTTTTTTTAAGGAAAAGGTAGCTATTAATGCCCACTTCTATGATTGTGATTTCATTCTTCATCTTTTGACTATTTTCTAAACAACATAATTTTAAGATGACTTGAATGAACCTTTTGGTTATTATTCTGAATTATCAGAAGGCCTTAGAGTTTTGCTGTTTGAATGCACATGTCATATTTAGCAATACAATAACCATGACAGAAAAAGATTAATGACTTTTTATTTTTCAACAGTGGCAAAGAAGAGTCGCGTTGTTTCTGATGCAGATGACTCTGACAGCGATGTTACATCAGACAAATCAGGCAAAAGAGAGAAGACTGTGGCTTCTGACAGTGAAGACGATGCAGGGAAAGAAGAGTTGTCTGATAAGAAAAATGAAGAGAAGGATCTGTTTGGGAGTGATAGTGAGTCCGGGAATGAAGAAGAGTAAGTGACAGTATGAGTTTTCAAGGGTTCATATAAGGTGGTAAAAAGGATTTGTTTCTGAGTTTTTTAAACTTGTATTAAAATTTTGTGTTGGGGTATGTGTTGCCTAGTTGCATGGCTAGGGGGATATCAGGATTGAGTTCCTGAAATATTGTTATGCACTATGAAATGGATGAATCTCAAAAATACCATCTTAAGTGGAGAAATAAAGAGGACTCAGGTAAAACTGATGATAGAAATCACAGTGATTGTTACCTCTGTGCTGCTGATATGTGGGACTACAAGGCAACTTTATGGGAAGGTGGAATTGTTCTATATCTTGATTAGGGCAGTGGTTACAGGAGTGTGTACTTTTGTAAGAAACCTTTGAAATAGACATTTTGAGATCTATATGTAAAATACCTTATTAAAAAAGATTTTGTGGTTTCTATGCAAATGAAAAAATGAAATGAAATTTCTTTTATGTTTGTTGTAGAAATCTTATTGCAGACATATTTGGAGAATCTGGTGATGAAGAGGAAGAAGAATTTACAGTAAGCATAAGATGGAAATATTTCCTCTTTGACCTTTATTTTTTATTCTTGGTTCTCTAGTGGGAGATTCCAATAAGAAGAAACAGACAACTATAATGCACTCATTAGAAAAATGTAGAAAGGGTATTCAGAAAGTGAAATGAAAGGGTGTATTAAGCAGTTAAAGGGTAATAACAGGCAAAATTGAATTAAGCGGGGAGGGAACACATTAGGAGATAATGACAGGTGTTTATTGTGTTATGGAGTAAGATTCACAATTAGGAAACATTTGCTTCTGGCAATAGCAGGTTAGGTAATTGGACCAACTCATCTGCTAAATACAATTAGAAAAACTAGGCAGAATGTTAAAAACCTACCTGCTCATCAGCAGAGAAACAATGCAGCAAAGTATTACTAAGCCAAAAATCAACAAAAGACAAAACCTAGAGTTAATGTAGGCATTTTGAATTGCCTTTTCTGGGATCTTCAGGCTAAGAGACTTATTGTATTTTTGATAGCCTCAGAACTTCAGAGGCAAAAGCAAGAAGTCCATGCCTGTTGAGTTGAGAGGGGCAGTGAAAACTCCATGCTTCAGATTGGGATTCCTAGAATTAAGGGTAAACTAGAAGTAAAATAGACTATGATGAGATGTTAAGGCAAGCTTTGAGTCATCTAGCAGCCTGCAGAGAATGTCAGTCTCAGAAATTTGATTGTAATGGTTCTTAACCCTTTGACTTAAGCTCTCAAGCACATGGCTTATGCAGGCAGAATCCTTTCAGTACAAAGGTAGCATCATAGACTTCAAATCATTTCTGTAGTTTTCCAATACATAGTATGATAATTGATCTTCGAGGACATTAGAGCAAAACAATAACAGAAGACAACAGAAATAGATGTAAGGGGTCTAGATATAGGACTTTTTGATACCACTTTAAAAATTTTATTTTCACAGAGATGAATGGTTAAAAATTTTGTCAGAGCAAAAAGTTGTTTAAAAAATAAAGCAGATTTGGAAAAGAACCAAATTGAAATAATAGGACTGTAAAAATATAGTAAGTGAAATTTTTAAACTTGTTGAGCTTAACAACAAATTAAATTTGACAGCAGATTTGAAAAAGGAAATGAGTGAACTGGAAGGTGAATTAGAAGAAACTATTTAGAAGGAAGCATTGATGAAATCCATTATTATGGAAAACAAAAGAATAAAACAAATTATATAAGAGAAGGTTTAACATAGTGAATTGGTATCCCAAAAGAAGGAAAAAATACATAGCAAAAGTAGTATTTAAAGAAATGTTACATAAAGTCATAGATTCTAGAAGTCTTGTAACTTAAAAGTCAGGTAAATACAACCAACTCTGCATCTAAATGCATGCTTGTAAAATCGCGAGAAAATAGGGACTTCTTAAAAGCAGCGACGGGGGATGGGATTATATTTAGAGGGGTAATGATTATACTTCTCAACAGAAACAGTAAATTTAATAACTGCAAACTCAGAATTCTGTAACACTCAACAAAAATAGTTGCAAGAATAAAGAGACCCCTCTTCAATATGCTAACTGAAAGAAATGCTAAACGCAGAAAGAAAATTTCAGGTGGAAAGTTAGGAAATTAGGAGGAGAAAAGGAGAAACAAGTATGGATAAATCTAAATGGGTATTACTATACAAAATAACGTCCTTTCTGGTGTGGTTTAAAATGTGTATCTAGAGTTGCAACACATGGCAGCAGTTATACATTGACAATATACATGGAATCAGTGTGTTTGTAAGCTTTTGTAAATGAATGTAAAAGTACTTCAGTAGACTTTATAATTTGGGATGTACGTTGTAATCCCTAAAGTAATCAGTCGGGGGGAGGGTGCGGGGGGGCGCTATTGGAATGTGTAACTTTCAGCCTAACAGGGAAAATGAAATAGTGAAAAATCCAAAAGAAGACAAGAAAAGGGAAAAAAGAAATACAAAACAGGGAGATAATTAGAAAGCAATATATAACCAGAGAGCAGATTTAAAACTTTGAGCATAACACAAATTACTATAAATTGAAATTTATTCAGTGTTCCCATTAAAGATGGTTAAAGTAGATTATAAAGACAAAAATGTTAGAATAGATTTTAAAAATCAACCATATACCAATTTCACGATTCATCTGAAACAGAGGCTAAAGTTGAAAATAAAAGGAAGGAAAAATGATACTCCATGTGAATACTACTAACTAAAAGAAAGTTGGTATAGCTGTACCAATATCAAAGAGATAGACTACAGCAAAATAACATTGCTGCGATAAAGAGTTTATATCAACTGAGATTTAGCTTAGTAACATAGTAACATAGCTTTAAATATGTATGTACAAAGCAAAGATTGACTGAAATGTTAAGAGAAATGCATAAATCTATAAGTGGAATGTGATAAATAGAACAAGCAGACCAGAAACCACAGAAGAGTCTATATAATCGGGCACTCTTATAGCTATAAATTAAAAATACCTTCTATTTTTGTGTCTTGCCTTTTGACTGTTTTTAATGGACTTTTGAGGAACAAAATTTCTTAATTTTAATGTAAATCAGCTTTACCAATCTTTCCCCTAATGGTGAAGGTCTTTTAATTCTAAGAAATTTTTGCCTATCCTCCAGGTCATGAAAATAGTCTCCTGAGTTACCCCTAGAAGCTTGATATAATTGATATTTCATATTTAGTTGTACCATCCATTGGAATGGGTTTTTGTATATGGTATATATGAGATAGAAGTTGAGATTTCTCCCCACCACATTTGCGAATATCCAGTCAACCCAGATCATCCTTTCCCACTACTTTGTAGTGCCATCTTTGTCATAAATCGAGTGTCTGATACATTTTGCAGTCTATTTCTGCATTGTCTTTTCTGTTCTATTGGTTTCTTCATGTACCTTTAACATATAAATCTTGATACTTGGGTTATGTTTCTAAGTTACTCATTAAAGTTGCCTTGATTTTCTTGGTTCTTTGCATTTCCATATAAATTTCAAACCTAGCTTTTATCAAAAATGCAAAGTTTAGACAGTGTTCTGAATGTGATACAGAACAACATTAATAAAATTATCCAACAAAACTCTTGCCATGCAGAAATTGAAAACTTTCTTGTTAAATAGCTTTTTGTTTAAGAAGAAATCAGTGCTTTAGTAATCTAAAGCAAGAAGGTGATAGTACTCTTGAATTTAAAGTCTGATTCAAGATAATAGGAAAATAGGAAGAATTTGTTCAACAAATATTTGAGAGTCTCTATGCTAGAGACTGTTTGGACATTGCCTTCATGGAATTAACTCTCAGTTAAGCAATACTTTGCAAGAATAATACATTTCTCTAATTTGAGAATTAGCATTAACTTGACCAGAGGCTCAGGACGGTGAGAAACAACATACCTGGTGAACCATTGCGAAGGCCCTCCTAAGTGTGATAGAAAAGTTAGAAGGTATAAGACCATTTTGGTTAATTAAAATTATGCATGGGAAACATTACTATAAAAATCAAACTAAATGGGAAGGTTGTACAGTTTCTGTCATTTAGAGAGGGCTAATTTCCCTCATTTTAGAAGAGAGATTTTCTATACTGATAATATGGACAAAGATCCAACACAAAAAAATGGGCATAGGCTTTTGAGAGTTGATAGAAAGAATTATACATGACTTCTGAACATGAAAAAAAGGTCAAACCTTACTCATAATAAGAGAATGCAAAGAGAGCTACAGAAATGCCTTTTGTTTTCCAGTCCAGAGATTGATGACTATAAGTCATTAATAACCTGCTGTAGTAATGAGAAAGTGTGGAAAGAGGTGCACACATGCTTTGCTAAAAAAAGTTAATTGGAAAACCTCACTAAATGGCAGATGTTTCTCAGAATTTCAAGTACTGAATGTCACCAGGGAAATGAATGAATAAAATGAATGAAGTTATGGTGAACTAGTCTAAAATCTAAAAAGAATAAGGATACTTGAAGCTAACATGAATGGGTCTCCGGATTCTGTCATTAAATATGGAACGTTCAGGACAGTATACTATACCCAGCATCTATAGTAAGCTGCTATTTATATACTAATGTAGGGGGAATAGTATATATATGGATAGGAGTGCATGTATACATGTAGAAATAACTAGTATCACTAATGGCTACTAGGATAACAGGGAGCTTTTATCTCTATACCTTTTGATACTCTAAGTTTTTTTCTTTGTGAATATATTAATTTAAAGATGGAAACAGTTAAGAGCAGTTACGCAGAATAAAATCTGTAAGTAAGTTGTCATAATGGCTAACTTATTCTTCCTTTAGGGTTTTAACCAAGAAGATTTGGAAGAAGAGAAAAGTGAAACACATGTGAAAGAAGCAGAAGATTCAGATTCTGATGATAATATAAAAAGAGGGAAACAGTGAGTTTGCTTTGTTTTTAAAGAATTTGTTGAAGAATTCTTAAAATGAAAACAGACTGTCGAATTTTTTTTTATCTTATTTTGTTTCCTGATTAAGTGTAGGAAGAATCTGTTCCATTTTTCACCCTCATACTTCCCTATATAGTGCTATGGAAAATTATTTCCTCTTGTTATGTTTTTTTCATTAGCCCTATGTTCATCTGTCTTAATATGTGGAGTTATATGGTGCTAGGCTCTTAATTTATACCTCAACAAGTAAGCACTTCTGAAAAATAACAATTTAAAATACCTTTTTTTTTTTTTAAGAGAAAAGCTGATTTGGAGATGCTCAAAGGGAAATAAGACTAAAGTCTTAACTAAAATATCACTTGATTGTATTTCACATTCTTTTGTTGAGATTGTTGCAATTTGTGTTCAGAAAAATCTGGAATCTCAAAAGGGGCTAAACAGAATAATTTACTGTTACAGTTGTAAATATAAAGCTTTGAAATGCATTTTTCTTTTTAATTCCTACTGACATGCAAGAATTAAACTGAAGATGTTTGGCACTACCTTTGGAAACTATATAAATCAGATCTCATTTATATGATAGTGGCAAAAAGAGCAAGTGAGCGCCCTCTAAGTATGATTGGGGGAAACTAAAGTTTTTGAGGCTCTTGGCAGGTCTTTAGGTTTCTGTCTTTGCCTCAATCAGATTATGTTTGAGAGTTGACCTTCCTGTCACTGAAATGCAGCAAATTCTTTTTTCCCCCCTACTTATACTGTGTTAAGACAAAAGTATTCAAATAATTGAACATGAAAGAAAAGATACTGTCACTAAAACTGAACCGTGGGCACTACCGAAAAATAAGAACTGGACATTTGAAATGTTCCTTCTTAAAGCTGAAATGGGCAAGTGTTGATATAATATATGAAGAGTTTGGGTGGGTTAGTATAAAAGTTGAACATAAAATCTAGGATCACCTGTTCTTTTAAAAGGAAGTTAGGAGTACTTGCACTTTAAAAGAAGGTATTTATTGAGTCAGAATTAAGGAAGTTGGTGGTTGTTAAGTTATATAAGAAAATGTGTATTAAAAGGGAATTTGTATTTCTTTTAATTTTGTGTTACTGCTTAGTATGGACTTCCTGTCAGATTTTGAGATGATGCTACAGCGGAAAAAGAGCATGAGTGGCAAACGCAGACGCAACCGTGACGGAGGCACTTTCATTAGTGACGCCGACGATGTTGTGAGCGCCATGATTGTCAGGATGAATGAAGCTGCTGAGGTGAGATGAGTCATTTCCCACTGCATCTTTGCTTTTTCCCACTTCTTTCCCATTTAGCTGGTAGAGTGGTAGTGTGGCCCTTTATTTTTGTTTATTTTTTGGTTTAACCCTTAAATTACATTTAAGATACTTTGGCTTTTATACTAAAGCACTTACTGGCCTAAATCTTAGGCATGGAAATAAGTTGCTTTTTTTAAAGTAACATATTTAGGGGGAAAAAACTTAAGTGTTAAGTAAAATTACATTGCTTGTTTTATGGGGAAATGATTTTTCCATTAGGTTAGGCAAACTTGATGTTTCTTCAGATATAAAAGGTTACAAACTTATGTTTTTATTGTGTTATAAACTGACATGTCACTTTTGTCTGTGATCAAGAGTTGTATTTAACTTCTTGCATTTTAAAGTACTTCCCAAATTGTGAAAATTGGCCAACCATTATGTTTAAAAACAAATTCTGATCTTTTAAAGATATTTACTGAAGTGTTTACAGATAGGTATCTAGAATTTGTTTCAAAATAATTCAAGGTGGGGAGAGAGAACAGTAGCTGGAGAAAATAGCTAAAATAAGATGAATCATAGTGGTGTTTAATTGTTTAAATGTGTATGACATGAGTTATTTGGTAGAATTTGAAATTTTCTGTAATTAATAAATATGGGGAAGTCCTGAAACTCTTCTTTAGTAACATACCATAAAAATCTCACAAGTGGAAAGTTATTCCTGATACTAAGCCAGGTTTTCTCAGATATAAATATGTATCATAAACTCTTTCAAAGCATTGAAATGTCAATGTTTTAAAGTTGCTCCTCTCAGCTGATGACTATGAAAGCTAATAGTGTTGTGAGTTTTGGTCAACGTAGGTACAGAATTTGGGACTCTATAAAAAGTCCACTATTTAGTCTTTCTTATAGGAAAATTGAAGTTTCTCAAAAAAATGAATGTTTTGTTTTAAGTTTAGAGTAATGGTGATTATAAATATTAACAGTCACTGTTGTGGTGCTTCTTCCTTTTTAATCTTTTTCATCCTGGATAGGAAGACAGACAGTTGAATAATCAAAAAAAACCAGCACTGAAAAAATTAACATTGTTACCTACTGTGGTCATGCATCTTAAGAAGTAAGTATTCTGTTTTTTTAAAGAAGTTTTGCCCCTTTTAATGAATTAATATTCGGATTATACAGTGGAGGTCTGGAGATATTAAGGAATGATTGTTATTAATCATGGTTATTTTTTTTTTTCACCCAAAAAAACAAAAAGTAAAACTTTCCAAATTAAGGCCTCCCTGGTGGCCTAGCGGGGTAAGTCTCAGCACCATCACCACTACTGCCTGAGTTCCATTCCTTGCTAGGGAGCTAACCCACATATGGAACAGCAGACCTCTCCTCTCTCACCCATTGCTTCCCTTCATGTATTTCAGTAAATTCACCTGTTCTGCTCCTCACTCTCTCTCTGGTGAATCCTTTCACCCCCTGTACCTCTGGCCTACACCCCAGTTGTGCTTCACAAAAAATAATTAAATAAAATAAAAATTTTTTTAAATTTCCAAATTATATTACTTCCTCAATAAATATTTCTTAAACCTTTGAAGCCTTATGCAACTGATATTAGTGAAAGAATAACTTGGAAACCACTTTTTGTTCTTTATAAGACAATTAAATTTTTCTGTATTTTCCAAATGTTATCAAGAACAGAGCAAATCCTGATACATGTATTACAAACTTATTTGTACATATTGTATAAGGCTTACAATGGCCTGTTATATAATGAATTATGTCATTGGTTCTTCTAGAAGAATGACCCCTTTTAAATTTTTTTTAGAAGACTGATTTCTTTTTAAAGATTTATTTAAATCTTTAAAGTAAAATTACAAGAGCTGAGGTGCAGGCCAGAGATGGGGGGCGGTGAGCGGATTCACCAGAAACAGAGTGGGGAGAACAGACGGATCTACTGAAATACACTGCTAAGGGGAACAGCAGGCAAGATGAGAGGTCTGCTTCACCATGTGGGTCTTCTCCCTGGCTGGCTGGAGAATTGAACTTGTGTTACAGTGGCTGCAAATAGCTTCATAGTGCTGCGTCTTCACACCCTGTGCCACTAAGAAGGCCCCTAGAATGACCTTTTCTTGATAGCCTTGTTAACACATTCTTATAGCTAAAGAAATACATTAGTACACCAATGAGCTAACAGCATGGTTTAGGACTTTCTATTAGAAAATTGCTGCCTCTGTCTTAGCTGTAATATTGTCATGTTTTCTGTTAATATAATTGATTCTAGTACATAAAAAGGAATTTAAATTGGGGTTTTTTCCTGGTAGAAGATACAGAATTCTCCTTGGTGTCCTGCAAGGACTGGCACAGTTCTGGGATCTCTCACCTGAAATAGTTTGAGAATCAGTATTCTGACAGATTAAATATTATTTTTTAGTTTTATTTATTAATTGGAACTCATTCTTACTGTCTGTACCATTCATGTCAGCATTAACCTGCCTTCTGTAATTTGGATTTATTTTTAAGAAATTATCTTTGCCTATTAAATGTTTTTTAAAAACAAGCACTAAATTTCATATTGCTTTTGAAACCTATGAATAGTTGTCGGTAAATAATGTATTAGGAGTAACTATTTAAAAACAATTTTTGGAAACTGCTAAATATGTCAGAAAATTCAGAGGAAGTTGTAATAGAAACTAAGGTTCATAGATTTGACCCTTTTTTTTATTATTATTACTATAGGCAGGACCTAAAAGAAACATTTATTGACAGTGGTGTGATGTCTGCCATCAAAGAATGGCTTTCACCTCTACCAGATAGGAGTTTGCCAGCATTAAAGATTCGAGAGGAGCTGTTGAAGATTCTGCAAGAGGTTAGAGGCAGATGATCTGACTGTTTGCTCTTCATTAGTTATCTGATGTGGTTTGTATTATCGCAACCTCTATATCTTACCATATATTTATACCTTTTTTTCTACCAGAGAGTGCCAGAGGAGGTAAAACCTTAAGTGTGTTAATTAAGAACATACCATGTAAGAAACCTTGTAAAGTTTCATGTAACTTTAGTATTGAAGGAAAAAGATCTTGGAAGTAGTGACAATTTATTTAAAAAGAGTATTTTTGTAGAGGCCAGGTGCTGGGGAAGTATTTGAAGTAGAAGGAGTACCAACCTTAGAATCAGATACACCTGCATTTGAATCTTGGTTGGGCCACCTTTATGTGGCTGTTACACCTTGGGCAAGCTGCTTAACTTCTGAAGGAATTTCTGAGGAACCTGCTATGTGCTAGGTGTTTAGCATTTGTATTGGTTCATTTATTCCTCACAACAAATCTTCAAGGTAGGTGTATTGTCTCCATTTTACAGATGAGGAAATTAGGGCACAGAGAAGTTAAATGACTTGTCCAAGGTCATAGAACTAGCAGATGGCTGTGTTTGGGTTCAGACCTTGATCTGTTAGAGTCTGAGGATTTGGTCTACTCTTACATAAAACTGCTAACCTATGAGTATGTTTAGTTGAAATTTTCTCACATTCTCAAGTTTGCTTTAACTCAGTGGTAATACTGAACTCTATTTGTGTTCAAGGTCTATAGGTCCTGAAAATTGAGTTGTTAATTTGTTCTGTTATAAGTGAACCAGGTCTTAGAGGCCCTGTAGAACAGATTGGCAGAACTCCCAGCCTCTGAGTGATTAATATATCTGTGTGTGTTTATGTTCCCCAGCTACCTAGTGTGAGCCAGGAGACCCTGAAACATAGTGGGATTGGACGAGCAGTGATGTATCTCTATAAACATCCCAAGGAATCAAGGTCCAACAAGGACATGGCAGGGAAATTAATCAGTATGTACATTTTGCTTTTTGTTTGTTGTGTTTATGTATATAGCGAGACAATGTATGTATAAAAGCTAATATTTTACTAGTATTCATTTTAAATGAGTCAGCAAAGTAAATAGAAAACATTTTAATAACTTCCTGTAGGTATTGACTTTTTCCCTCAGACTTGGAATGCTTCTGTGTATATTTAAGTATGCTATCCAGTCTTAAATATAGCAACTAAAATCATCCATTTCTAATAATGGATCAAGAGCATGTAGAGAGAAAGGGATTAGAGTTCAGGTCCTAGAGTCAGTCACCTGGATTCAAACCCTGATCACACCACCTGCCTTACTACATATCTTTGGGTTAGTGATTTAAGCTCCAGACCTTGGTTTCTTCCTCTGTAAAACGGAGAATTGTGTTTTGACTTTGGGTTATCATAATGATTAAATGAGAGGACGTATACAAAACACAGTACCTAGCACATAGTAACTCCTCAAGAAATGTTAGCCTCTGATGCTATCTATGATTGTCACACATCAGTTGCCATATTATTTATGAAATCCTTCAATTTTAAAATTTCCTATTGAAATTTTAAGATTATCAAAAACTTAGAAAAGTGTAGAATTTTTTCATAAACTGGAGAAGTAGTACATCATTAAACTTTTTAATAACCTGCCAGCTACTGCTTTACAATGATAACTTTGGATGCTTTTATGCAATGGTTCTAGACCTTCTTTTTTGCCCTGGACTGAGAGAAGCAGAATATTCTCACTCATGCCCATGACTTAATAACAACAGTGATTCTGAATCTGAGGCAAAGCCGGTGGGTCAGTTTTCAAAGGCATATAGACCCTCAAGACTCCTTGATTCTGTTTTAGTGCAACCTCTATGTTCTGTTTATACAGGTACTTTCTCATTTTTATCATGTATTAAATGTAGCTGTAAAAGCTCCATTATGTTTCAGAACAAAATCATTTGTTGGCACCTCTGGACTGGTACTGATGAAACACTGAACATGCAATACTTGTTTTCACTCTAACAACTTGCTTAGGCTTAAGGAAGTACAGAGTACATCCTCTGTATCTGCACTATTAAAATGTGATGTGTAAAGATACAGACTATTTTGACAGTTAAGCATGGTGACTTTTTTGTCACAATAAGAAAATAGAAGAATTTCAATCTTTCCTACTTTCAGTAGAGTAAATTCAGAAATTTGATTGTCTTTATGAAATACCAGCACAGCTGATTGGTGACTATCTAACAGAGTCTGATGTTACTCTCTTAATTCCTGTAGTGATTGCAGGTTTGAAGATATTTTTACACTGAATTTTCTGAATTAACTGGGCTAGTTAAAGTCCTTGTGTTGTTAGCCTGTGTTCATCCTATAAATGATCCTGAAATAATATCTTCAAAGAAAGAATATTCTGCATGCCTGAAATAAGACCTCACACTGGTGTGTGATGATTTTAAGGAATGATGGGGAAATTGCTACTTTGTGAACTAAATTCATAGTTGATTTTTTTTTGTTACAGATGAGTGGTCTCGCCCTATATTTGGTCTTACCTCAAACTACAAAGGAATGACAAGAGAAGAAAGGGAGCAGAGAGATTTAGAACAAATGCCTCAAAGACGAAGAATGAGCAGGTATGAGGGAACAGGTAGGAATAAGTGGCGTAATATTAATGTTGTAATAAATCATTTTTTTAGTAAGAAAGATCTTTGAGAAATGACAATGTTTTGTTTTACCTGTCAGCTTGATATGTTTGTGTAGTTCATAAGCCCTTTCAATTTAAAAGTAATTACTCTATAATGAAGACCCACATCGCCTCCCAGACTTTTCCTTCTGGTGGAATGTGTCCTCTGCCACAGTTCTGGAAACTTCTGAAACAACTTGTCTTCTTGTAGAAAATACTTTCTTCGAATCCTTTTACAAATCTTAGGAGGAGAAGTGATGTTACTGGTTTTAACCAGTTGCATCCGGGATGGCAGGGTCATTGGTGAAAACTCAATGTACAAATGATCACTAAAATAAGTACTACTTTTAAAATGTTGAAGTTATTTCTCTAATGCAGTAAAAAGGACCTAGTTATGTTGGTGATATTTCACTTTGTTACTTTTTCTCTTAGTTATAAGGTTTCTAACATTCCTAGTGTCTTGCTGATTGCTTTTTCCCCAGCACTGGTGGTCAGACTCCCCGGAGAGACCTGGAGAAGGTGCTGACAGGAGAGGAGAAGTAAGGTTCTTGTGTTCATTTTTCCTGAACTTTATAGAAAATGTTCTGCCTGCTGCTTTGCTCTAAGAGAAGTAGTAGGTAAAGTGATGTTAGATTCTCGTTGGTGGGGGATAATTTAAGCTTTACATTTGTTGGCTGTCCACACGGCATTATATTGGGTGCTCAGGAGGATATACAGAAGATTGAAAAATAGTTAATTCAGTAATTATTTTGTTGCTACTTGCGAAGTACTAGGAAGTATGAAGCTCTAGGAACAAAAATCAAAGTAATCCAAAAAACTTTTAGAGTGATAATTAACAGAGAGTGCTTAAGCAAAGATGTGAAGGGTTAGTGGGCAAGGCCTCTTAGGACTAGCGGATAGACAGAAGGCAGTAGTCTGGTGCCTGAGATGATGATAGAAGAAAAAGTTGGAAACGTAGCTGTGCTCCAAATTTTGAAGGAGTGTAAATCAAGGTGAGGAATTTTCACTTTATGATTCTACAGAAACTTTTGAGCACGGACGTGAAGTCATCAGGTATGATTTGGAACACTGAAGCTGGTGGCCAGGTTGGTGTAGGACAGGTTAGAGGTCAGAGGAAATGAAGGCAGTGATACAGTTAAACTGAGGCTATAATAGAGAAGAAGCAGAAAGTTGACTTTTCATGAACCACACTGCCAGGACTTGGTGATATAGTAGGTAAGGAATTGCCTGGACTTGCAGATTCCAACCAAAAAAAAAGTTTTTTTAAAGATTGATTTATTTATACAAGAACCCTGCTACAGGCCAGATGCGTGGGAAGGTGAGAGGATTCACCAGAGACAGAGCGAGGAACAGAACAGGCAGACTGACGAAATACACTGCTGAGGGGAGCAGCGGGCGAGACAGGAGAGGTGCGCTCGCCATGTGGGTTGCTCCCTGGCCAGCCGGGATCGAACCTGCGCTGCAGAGGCTGCGGACAGCTTCACAGTGCAGCGCTCAATTGCCTGCGCCACCAGGGAGGCCCTCCAACCAAAATTTTAACCTACATAACTGAGATCCAGGTATTACCGTTCACTGAAATAAAGAACGGGAGTAGATTTAGGATAGAGGTGATTTGTTTTGAGCTTATTAATTGTGAGATGTTTAATGAACTAGCCTCTAAATATCATAAGCCTAGAACTTGGAATTTGGGTTAGAGACATGGTTGACAGTTAATCTCCATAGAAAAATAAAGTATAGTGTAACAAATAAACAAAACATCTTGGAAAGTGGGTGTAGCCAGGCAGAGTAGCTAGTGCTGGCAGGTGAGCTGCTGTTTGGTGTTGGAGGAGAACCTAAAGGAGAGTGAGACTGCTAGAGGTGGGCAGTGACAGAAGCTGTAAACAGTTGCAGAGGGATTGATAGTGAATGTTGGCAATCAGGCAGCATCCAGATTTCAAGAGGATGGGAGATGAGCTAGAGGGAGCGAGTGTAGTTTGTTAAGTTTGATGATGAAGCTGTGACATCCAGGAGAAAATAAGAGCCATAAGAGATTTTCTTTGGTTAACCATTAAGTCTGTTCACGTACATGAGGGTTATAGGAGTTTGTTGTTAAGAATAGAATAAAGTATACAAGGAAATGCAAACAATTCAGACCTTTGTATCTTCCTCTTTTGCTCTTTCTCCACCCCTCCACATACACCCGCTCCCCATTTACCATTAGAAGATTAGTTACCTGAAAGTTGAATGATTTGAATGTCCAGACATCTGCAAATAGGCTTTGCTTTTGAAGGATGATAGTCTCACTTTGGTCTGTTTGGTAGTTCTCAAATGTGCACAGTAAGTCCTCCCTTAAACATTTTCAGTAAGTTCTTAGAAACCGACAATGCAATGGTGTAAACAGAAACCAGCTTTACCATAAAAAGAGTTAAGTTCCTACAGCATATTTCTGGTCACAGAAACATTACCAAACTTTTGAATAAAGGCCCAGACACTTCTGATATTAAGCAATAACTTGTATTCATTCAGGCATTTATATTCTAGCCCACTTGTTCCTGTTCAGGGTCAAGTGTGGACAGAGCCTAACCTAGCAACTTGAGCACACAGCTGGAACCAGCTCTGAACAGGATGCCATTCCATCACAGAACATACTCTTCACTCCCAGACATACTCATTCACTTACGCAGACTGGGAAAATTTTGACATGCCGATGAATTCCATCTTTGGGATGTGGAAAGAAACTGGTTTGTTCAAATAAGACACATAGACTTAGGGAGAACTTGCAAACTCCATCCAGACAGTGTCCCCAACCAGAAATCATATCTTTTTTTCCTCATCAACATAAAAATATTATTTAAAGACCTGCTATATAAAAGATACTGTGTTTGACACCAACAAATGCCTGTAAGGATGCAGAGAAAGAGATAATTAATACATTGCTGTGGATGAAATGGTACAGCTACTATGGAAAAGTTTCACAGTTTCTTATAAAATTAACCATGCAACCACCATTCCACCACTCTAGGGCATTTGTCCCAAAGAAACAAAAAATTTATGTTGGTGCGAAACCTGTATATAAATGTACAGCTTTGTTTATAATGGCCCCAAATTGGAATAAACCAGATGTCCTTCCAAGTGAATGGAAAAACTATGGTACATTCATACCATTGAATGTAACTGAGCAATTAAAATGAACAAGTATTGATGGATGCAGCAAAGGCTAATTTCTTACCCACTTGTAAAGGTTACATTGTATATTCCATTTATATAACCTTTTTGAAATGACAGGATTGTGGAGCCAAAGGTACTGATATTCATGGTCCCTGCGCAGTGGGACTGCGTGAATAAGGGAGGTGGGTTTATTTATAGAAGGACAGTAGAAGGGATCCTTGTGGACACACAAAACTACACAGTGATAAAATTACATAGAATTAAATGCGCACATAACAAATGCAAGTAAAATTGTACTTACAAATATCTACGGATTATATCAAAATCAGTGTCCTGGTTGTGGTACTGTACTGTGTTTGTTGTACTGGATCTCTTTGTAGTATTTTTTACCAAGTGCCTGTGAATCTATATCTCAATCTATATCTTTATAAGCAAGGGCCAAAAGTGTTACGAGTTCCATGTACCAAACCATAAACTGCTTTGTGGGCATACTCAGTTTGGGGGACTCATTTTGACTACCTAGTGTTTCCTCATAAGTGAACCCATGAGTCAGGACTCCACTAGAAATAAATTGGGCTCCAGAATCTGATAGAGAAACCAGTCTTGAGGTGAGAGAAGCATGAATACATTTGAAGCGGAATAGAGTTGTAAAGGAATCCTAAAAATGCAGAGGCAGTTGGCTTGGGGAGGAAAGTTGAGGAACTCATAGTGATTTGATGATGAGGCTCAGCTAAGACAGAAAACGGGAGGGTAGAGATGATTTCAGAAAGGTGGGCTGATGAATGGGATGCTGGGGTTGGCTACAAAAACAGTAGCGTTCTCTTCCCATCCTCAGAGCTCTTCGACCTGGAGATCCTGGATTTTGTGCCCGTGCAAGGGTCCCAATGCCCTCAAACAAGGACTATGTTGTCAGGCCAAAGTGGAATGTGGAAATGGAGTCATCCAGGGTAAGCAAATGGGGAGAGTAAGGTGAATGTCAGATACAAATTACTATTTTGTTTTTTACTTCATGTTTAATTGCCCTTAACATCCCTTAAAGTTTATCTGATTTGAAGAGAGTTGCTTTCTAGTCTTAAGTAGCCAGGTCATTGATTGCTCATGAACTACTCAGACTTGCATTATAAATTCAGGAAGTTTCTTCTAGTTCCTTTGTTTCAACAGACTCTTAAAGCCTAGCGGTTTTGGTAATAGTCATCTTTTGAGAATCATGACATACAGAATTCAGCAGCATTTATCGTCAGCCCCCTCCGTATTTTTTCAACTATTTTAAGTAATACTGTTGTGAAGTAGACTAAACACTCTCTGTCATTGTAAGTACTGTTGCGTGATCTTCATTGTTTCTCAGTAATCTTTTCTTATTCTCCATTCAAACTACTGTTCCTAGCCTGGTATTCTTAAAAAGGGCCTAAGCCGATTGGAAAAGCATAAAAGGCGATTTGCAGAACAGAAACGACTCAGCAAAGTGCACCGTGCTGTCAAGTTCAGCATTGAAGGCAACAGGATGCCCTTGTAGGCCTGGCCCTACCAGAGTGTATCTGAGAGGTATCCCCAAGGAAGCATGCTTATGCATGGGCTTGAGTTGTAAGCAGCTAGAGTGAAAACAGTGCGTGTGTGTTTCTGAACTAGAGAAGATCAGGCCCACTTCTGGTTTCTGAAATAATGGCCCTGACAAGCATTTCATGACCAATTCAAGTACTCTCGGCTACTTAGAAAGTGATTCGGAAGTCTGTATCAGAGAACCCTAGGGAATAATAGAGAACTACTTACCTGAGAAGCATTTTGGTCTTCCTGACTGGTAGCCATTTTTATTAAGGCCCGTAATCATTGTGGTCTACCTTGTATGAATTAGTCACTTCATGGTAGAAGAGAGGTGATTTCTTTACCTGTGGTGAGTGGCTTACCAACATGCATGTGAGGACTTAACTGTATAAAACCTGACACTGAATATTTAGGAGATAAATTTGATTAATACATATTCAATACAGGTTGGAAATGAAGACTTAGGGCAAAGCCAGAGTCGCTACCTGCTGTGCTCTAAGATTAATAATAGTGCCTTTTTGCACTGTACTCTTGACAAAAGAGTGTATTGCCTTCATATTTTGACTTACCCATGACCATGACCCATGCTTTGGCAGCTAGTTCCACAGACTGCATTCACCTTCTGCCAGTTCATTTTACTGTTCAGCTACTGTCTCAAAACAAAGCATACTTTATTACTGATTCTTATTTACTGAGCATAAATAAAGTAGAAGAGCACTAGTTTAGTTCCTTTCCTTTTTCTTTTATCCATATCCCTTGATAACCTTCTCCCCTACCACCACCATTTTTCCCCTGTCTATTTTGTCTTTTTACCCGTTTTTCATAATACTTTTCTTCCTCAGCACATTTATGTCTGAGAATTGAGGTCTACAATATCACAAAAAAAATATAATACATCTTAGTGGCCAGTCTACTTTGGAAACACACCTTATGTCCTCAGGGGCATTTGCCTGACTGTGGGTGTTGCTGCTTCTGATCCTACCCTCCCTTTAGTTGATGGGTAGGTGAGAAGAGGTGGCCCATTCACTTGCTAGAGCACACCAGTGACCAGCATGAGGGGAAGGAAATGCAAGTAGAGTTCCCAGCACTTCATTCCCAATACTCCCAATATCATAATGTGTTGGTATTATTCTACTCCTGAATCTGGCTTGTCCAACTGTGTCCAAAAAAAAACCCCATGTTTGAGGGGCTGGTGGTCCTTTGTTACAATATTGTTCATAAACTTTGTGATACTGCTTATTCAGGAAGGTTGAATATTCACTCATTCCACAATGCACAAACTAAGTGTTATTGGAAAACATATTTAAGAAGGAAATTGGAATGAATTTCCAAGGAAATTCTTTTTATTTTAAATGTCATTTTTATTTTTGAAATTACTCAAGTAAATATGAAACTAGAGTAACCCTCTCCCCAAAGTCCTGCTTTTCTAACTTAACAATTTGATGTGTGAAATATATTTTCAGTAATACTTTAAACTCAGTTTTTTCCTGTTTATAATTGTGGGAGAGTTTGAAATTGTGAAGAGGGAAATCACCTACCATTTAAAAGCAATCGATTTTTTTTTTTAAAGATTTATTTATTTATTTATACATACAAGCACTGGGTACAGTCAGAAGCGCGGGAGGATGAGAGAATTCTCCAGAGCCAGAGCGGGGAGCAGAACATGCAGAAGGACCAAAGTACACTGCTGAGGGGAGCAGCAGGCGGCAGGAGAGGTCTGTGCGCCACGTGGGACCCTTGCCTGTGGCCGGGGATCGAACCGGCGCTGCAGAGGCTACGGGCAGCTTCCCAACCCAGCGCTCAACTGCTGCGCCACCAGGGAGGCCCGATACATTTTTTTGTCTCTTTTTTTCAACTGATACTTTAACATAGTGAAACTGTTTAATTTTGCTCATGTTAATGTTTTCCAGAGTGCTTTTAAAATAACAAAGATAAATTAATGTTTTAATACAAAATTTTCAAGTAAAATTAATGTCACTTGTAACCCCAACCACACTTTAATATTATTTCTTTTTAGTTCTTTTTATATATGTACACAACATAAATGTTTTTTATTTTGTTTTTAATTTTTCAACAAAATTGTGATCATATTTTACACCTTTTTGGATTTGTTTTTCATTAACATGATAAAAACTCATACCAACATGCTTCAGTGACTAAACGTTGTATCATGGTACAGTTATACTATAATGTTATTAAACAAATCCATCCTGTTCATGTTTTAAGCTGCTCTTGTTTTTTGGTTTTTAGGACTTTTTTTTTTACTGATAAAACAGTGCTACATACATTGTTACTGTCCTAAGATAATGATATAGAGTTGATGAATCATAAAAGAGGTCATTCAGTTTGGTATGTCTTAAGGTATGTCTCTGTATGTCACAAGGCATCTGCCAGCTACAACCTTGTAAGCTGTCAAGAGGAGTAGATGGCGCTGGCCAGGGAGTATGCGAGTTGTTGAGGCTAGATGGAGCTGGTAGAGCTCCAGCTGTCATGGAAAATCCTGGAGGAGTGTGCAAGTAGTAGTTCAAATTGGTGTGTAGAGTTACTGGGAGTTGGGTGACTGCAGAGATCTGTAGGTGACTAAATGCAATTACTGAAAATCAAGCTACATTGTCTGAAAGGAAGTCAGATGTTTGGGACTGACCAGGAAATCTGGGATATATAATAGGGTGGTGGTACCATAGCTCTTTCCTCCTGATAGTGTAATTTTATGCAAATTCAGAATATTAGTGCTAAGGATTAAAATTGATATAGAATAATATTTGGAATTGAGCTGTTACTAGAAAATTAAAGATGATCAACATAGTTCTTGTTCAAAAACGACTTGAGTTCGTTGCTCTATATGAGGTGGATGTGGAGTTTAGAGGAGAGAGAAGACTTGGGAGGCTCCCCACCCAAAGAACTGTACACTAGTACCAACCAGAGAGTCTCCTAGACTCTATCTCATTTTAACATTCTTTGAATTGAGTTTCACAGGTGATTCAGTAATAAATATCAGAGAAGAATTAGAAAATCCATCTTTTTTCCCCCACTCAGCATTTTTAAAGATCAGAATTGTTAGCAACCCAGTGAGGCAAAAGAATTGACCCTTTTCAGCTTTTCTTAAAAAGTTTTGATTTCCTGGAGACAACATCCCTTCAAGACATGCAGTCTTTTTTACAGTAAATGTAGAAGAGATAATTTAACAACAAATCTTTAAACAGGAAAGGCAAGAAGGAAGAGATGCCAGTAGTAGTAAGTCCTTTACATCACAAGATTTAATTCTTTTCTTTCTGTGTCACGTGTTCTTTTTTAACACAAACTAATGACTGCTAAGTAGTCATAGTAATAACTGGTATTTATTTTAAACTTTGACTTGTATTTGTGCTTGTATTTGACATTATTTCACGTCTCCTACCAGTCTTAAGGGGAGTCCAGAGCAGGGATGCGATTCACCTGGGTTACAGAGCCAGCTGAGGCGGAGCAGGCAGGGTTCACCCACCCCAAGTGTAAAACTGGAACCCCAGCCCTTGATGGATTTGCTTTACTAACCCTCTAAGCTTGTTCACTATGCTGCAGCTTTTTCTCAGATGACTTTTCTTGCCTTAGAAGAACATTATTCTTTATGTTTGAAGGTGTTTATTTCTAGTGGCGAGCTCCATGTTTGATCTTTGAGGGGGAAAAGCATAGTTAAAATGTGATCTGATGGGGGAGGGGGAATAATAGTTACTATTTTTCTCCCTTTCTCTTATCTGGGAGATTTCCATCTATTGAGGCAGAATTTTAAAACAAAGCACAGACAACAAAAAAAGTATTCTTCATGGGGAAAGTTTAATATGTATTTTAATGCTGTGGTATATGCTTGCTTTGTTGTTCCTGAGGTCACCAAAGCATATTCTGGTTCCTAGAGGTAGGAACTCTTCCAACTGCTGACTTTCAGATAAAAAGAAGATGAAGACAAAGCTACATTTATTATTTCAATAATTTGCTCTTTAATTTTTACCCCACTCTTAGTTTCAGGGGACCTCCAAGAAGGGCATCAGTCGACTGGATAAACAGATGAGAAAGTTCACAGATATCAGGAAAAAAAGCAGATCTGCACACGCAGTGAAAATCAGCATCGAGGGCAATAAAATGCCGTTGTGACCTTGCCTGGGTTATGTCCCTGTCTCTCAGAAATGCGCAATGGACTCTGGAGAAAGAAGATATTTTAAAAAAATTTTTAGTGTATCTGTAAATGTTTATGCTTGTATCAGATGTTGTCATAGGACTTGGATTTCTCTCAGTGGTATTTAAAACCGTTTGTTGTGTACTTTGTACAGAGGAATACTAGTCATACTTCTATAAACTTTACACAATAAAATTCCGTTCTGGTTTTGGGGGGCTGTCTCTTCATTGTCTTGGAAAGGGTGAAAACTGTCTGAGTGAAAAGAAAAAACTTAGAAATTGCAATGGTTTATGACCCTTCTGTTTTTAATCCTACTCAACTGGTATACAAAATTTGGGCTCTGTCCTAGGTTTTGGACATGGAGCTTCTAAAATCCTTTTTGACTTCCTGGACGACAGTATTGTTTTTGTGATGCTAATGAAGTCTCATGCTAGACCCCTCCCTGCGTAGCTTTAGTAGGGCATTAGTGACCAGAAAGACCTACCACATAAGGTTAAGACTTGGGGCAGTCCTGACCTGTGGGAGCGGGAAATCTTGGAAGTTACTCAGTTGTGCCACCAGTGGTTTAATCATTGACACGAGTGGGCAGGCCCAAATTAAAAACTCTGAACACTGAAGTTTGGTGGAACTCCTGATTGGTGAACAAACATGCTAACCAGGGTGACATGCCTTGATTCCACAGAGGGTGTGGTAGCTCGTGAGCTTGCCCCACACCTTTGCCCTGTGTGTCTCTTCACTTGGTTGTGAGTCCTACTTTGAGTCCTTTATAATAAAACTAACCCTAAATATAGTGCTCTCCTGAATTCTGTGAGTCAATTTAGTGAATTCTGAAACCTGAGGAAACTCTCGAATTTGTAGCCTGTCAGTCAAAAGTGGGAGTTTGAGCTTACCACGTGAGGCTGGCATCCAAAAGTGTGGCCTGCCTAATGGAAGACCCAGCCCTTAAACTTGTGGAGTCTCTGAATTTGTGGTGGTTGGTGGCAGAATTGAATCACAGTATTCTAGTTGAGGTTAAGACCAGATACCAGCAAAATCCTAGTATTTCTCTTGTTAGGAAAACTCCATTTGATTTGAATAAAGTTTTCTCTTTGGTGGGTGCTATAATGAAAAGAAGGTTGAGAAATGTTGTCTTAAAGGAGATAGGAATAGAGTTGAAAATCACTATACCAGTTTAGAGCAGTTGGAGTAGAGATAAGAATTATGGCTTACAGCTACATTGTACTATTTTTGTGATGCTTTCTAATTAATTTGCAGATTTAATTGTGAACAATCTGATTAGTCAAAATGACTAAATGCAAGAAAATTTCATAGTACTTTTCAATGTAGAATCCCCTGATACGTATTTGGATAGAGATCTGGCAACCTTGATTTTCAAAAAAAAAAAATGAATCTTACTGCCCATAAAAGCTTTTGAACAACCAAGATAGCATGACGTTCACTCCTGCTGTTTTTATTCATGATCTTAGAATCTTTTCACATTTACTTTCAACAAACTTAAAAGCACAAATGTGACACTCAGGCCCGTTAGCGCATCAGGTGATCACTAACTGCTTGAGGGAGATGGCACAGCAACTTCCCTGCACTGTCCTGCTCCATAGAAATGCCATCACAGCCACTTGTGAGAACAACAAAAAAATAAGCCATTTATAAAAGCAGCTGATGGTGACTGATAATTAAAAATTCTGAAGAAAGGTAAGAAAGTGCTTTTTAAAGCATTAAAGTTAACTAATAACATTTTGGCATTTAATGAGATATGCTCCAGTTATCTGAAAATTTAACCTATTACTTGGTGGTGCCAAGTAATAAGGTGATAATTGTACCTGAGGAATTCAAAATTAGATTTTCCTTAAGAAAAAAGTATAAGCAATCCTGGTTGTATGGCTTATTTAGAAAGTCTAAAACTTGGCCAGCCAAATCAACTTTCACAAATTTTTCGAAAATATTTCCAAGTTAACAATAGTGAAAAGCCCTGTACTCTTCATCTGTATTTACCAAATGTTACCATTTTGCCACATTTTATCACATGAGTAATTTGCTGCCAAGTTACCTCTTGATCATATTAAGCATATTTCCCCCAAAAACAGCTTTATTCCATGGTGATATTAACTTTGACCACTGGGGTAGAGTGATGCAAGCTCACCTTTTCAGTTTCAAAACATTTTGAATTGCAACTTACTTTTATTTTGAATTATAAATATGTAAAATACATAAAAGTTGCCATCTTTTCCACAGCAAATGACATTCAGTTGTGCAGCCATCGCAACCCTCCATCTCCAGGTGTCTTCATTATGCAAAATTGAAAGTACCCAGTAAACACAAACTACCTTCCCCTCTCCTCCCAACCCTGACAACCACCTATTTTTTTAATCTGATTTGTACTGTTAACAGGTGTCTCATGTGAACTCATTTTTTTTTGGACTGGCTTTTTCCACTTCATAACATTCTCAGGCTTCATATTTGTTGTATGTATAAGAATTTCCTCCCATTTTAAAGCTGAAGGAATAACTCTACTGCATGTATGTATGTTTTGTATCCATGCCATTTCCACTGTCATGAAGATTCCCCCAGTGTTTTCTTCTAAGAGTTTTATAGCTTTAACTCTTGTACATCTTTGATCCATTTACTTTGTGAATCAACTGTTGAACTCATTTTTCTTGCATGTGGATATCCAATTTTCCCAGCACTTTCTTGAAAAAACTTCATCACTGAATGGTCTTGGCAACTTTGTCAAAAATCACTTGACCATATATGCCTGGTTTCATTTCTGGACTCCATTCCATTGATTTTTGTGTCTATACAACACTAGTTTGACTACTGTAGTAAAATTTTTGATGATGTGGTAAAAATTTGTATAGCAAATTTTGAAATCAGAAAATGAGTCTTCCAACTTTGTTCTTTAGGCTAATTTGGGAGGGCCCTTGAGATTTTATATCAATTTTTGGATGGATGATTCTTTTTGCAATAGATACATGTTGGAATTTTGATACGGATAGCAGTGAATCTAGCTCATTTTGGGTAGTATTGACATCTTAACTCATGAGCACAGATGATACCTTTAGTTCCAACATTTTGTCATTTTTCAGGATACAGTCTTTCACCTCCTTGGTTAAGTTTATTTCCAAATATATTTTTATTATTCGTAGTATTGACTTTGCTGAATTCTTACAAGCGGTGTGTGTGTGTGGTGGGAGATCTTTGGGCATTTTATATACAAGGTCACACCTATTCCTTTTCAATTTGGATGACATGTCTTTTTTTTTTTTTTTTTTCCTTTTTTTTTTTTTTCTGATTATTACCTAATTTATTTTATTTTTTTTTAATAAATTTTATTGTTATATTCCCCATACAATTGCAGCCCCCCCATTCTGACCCCAATCCCTCCCCTCCCACCCCCGCCCCCCTAAAAGTGTCTCTGGTTCATAGTTTTTTGTTGATTTTGATTTTCACTTTCTTATAGTTATTCATTTTCCTGGTCCCTTATTTAAGTTTTCTAGATTCCTGCTATGAGTGAGACCATCCGGTATTTTTCTTTTTCTTTCTGGCTTATTTCGCTGAGCATGATCCCTTCCAGCGCCATCCATGTTGCTGCAAATTGCATGTGTTTATCTTTTTTGAATGCTGAGTAATATTCCATGGTATATATGTACCACATCTTCTTGATCCAGTCATCTATTTTTGGGCATTTGGGTTGTTTCCAAAGCTTAGCTATTGTAAACAGTGCTGCTATAAACATAGGGGTGCAGGTGTTCTTTGGAATTGATGTTTCTGTGTCCTTTGGGTAAATACCTAGGAGTGGAATTGCTGGATCATATGGAAGCTCTATGTTTAGTAGGTCCAGAAATCTCCATACAGCTTTCCACAGTGGTTGGACCAGTTTGCACTCCCACCAACAGTGCAGAAGAGTTCCTTTTTCTCCACACCCTCGCCAACATTTTTTGTTGCTAGTTTTTTTAATATGTGCCATTCTCACTGGTGTAAGATGGTATCTCATGGTAGTTTTGATTTGCATTTCCCTGATGACAAGTGATGTTGAACATTTTTTCATATGCCTGTTGGCCATTTGCATTTCCTCTTCAGAGAAGTTTCTTTTAAGCTCTTCTGCCCATTTTTTGACTGGATTATTTTCTTTGTTGTTGTTGAGTCTCATCAGCTCTTTGCAGATTTTTGTGATCAGTCCTTTATCATTAGTGTTGGGTGCAAAAATGTTCTCCCAGTTGGTGGGGTTTCTCTTTGTTTTTGTTATTGTCTCTTTTGCTGTGCAAAAGCTCTTTAATTTGATGTAGTCCCAGCTGTTTATCTTTGCCTTCACTATCACTGCTTTGGGTGATGTGTCTATAAAGATGTCTTTGATATGCAAATCACGTAGTGTTTCGCCTACATTTCCTTCTATATATTTTATGGTTTCAGGTCTTATGTCTAGTTCTTTAATCCATTTTGAGTTGATTTTTGTGTATGGTGTGAGGTGGTGGTCAAGCTTCATTCTTTTGCATGTAGCGACCCAGTTTTCCCAGCACCATTTATTGAACAAACTTTCTTTGCTCCAATGCATATTCTTTGCTCCTTTGTCAAAGATTAGTTGACCATAAATCTGTGGGTTTATTTCTGGATTTTCTATTCGATTCCATTGGTCTGTATGTCTGTTCTTGTTCCAATACCATGCAGTTTTGATGATTATGGCTTTGTAGTATAGTTTGAAGTCTGGGAGTCTGATGCCTCCATTCCCTTCTTTAGACATGTCTTTTTCTTGCCCAGTTGCTCTGTATAGAATTTCTAGCACTGTGTTGACTGGAAGTGTCAAAAATGGGCATCTAATTTCTGGTCTTAGAGTAAAAGCTTTATCTTTTATTGAGTATCATATTAACAGCTTTTCACACATGGACTTTATGATGTTAATGTAGTTCCATCTATTCGTAGTTTGTTTATAGTATTAGGGCAATGCTGGCCTCAAAATGTTTTAGATGTTCCCCTCACTGAGTTTTGGGATTATTCGAGGATAATTAATGATAATTCTTTTCATGTTTGGTAGACTTCAGTGAAGGCATCTGGCCCTGAACTTTACTTTGTTGGGTGTGGGTGGGTTTGACTGCTGACCTAATCTTACTCTAGCTGTTATTTCTCTTTCTTAGTAGATTGTGTTTCTAGGGATTTGTCTATTTTATCTAAGTTACCCAATTTTTTTTATCATACTGGTGTTCATAGTACTCATAATCCTTTATATTTCTTTAAGATTAGTAGTATTCCTTTCATCATTTTAGTACAATTATTCTCTTTTTCTTAATCTAAATGTTCATCAGTTTTGTTCATCTTCTTGATGAACCAACAGTTGCTTTTTTTCTGTTTATTTCTGCTCTCATCATTTTTCTGCTAGCTCTGGCTTTCAGTTTGTTCTTTTTGTAGTTCCTTAAAAGATATAAAGTTAGATTGTTGATATGAGAGCTTTTAGAAATGTGTTTACAGGTATAAATTTCAGAACTGGTTGTTGCATTCCATACATTTTGTTATGTTTTCATTTGTGTCAGGGTACTTTCTAAATTCCCTTGTTTTTTCTTCTTGGATGCATTGGTTATTTAAGAATGTGCTATATATAATTTCTGCATATTTGTGAATTTTCCAGCTTGCGCTATCAATTTCTAGTTTCATTCCATTGTGATCAGAAAGATACGTGATTTTGATCTTTTTTAATTTATTAAGACTTTTTGCGATCTTAGGTATGGTTCAACCCAAAGAATGTTCTATGTATACTTGAGAAAAATATGTATTCTGCTCTTGTTGGGTGATGTGTTGTTGGGTGATAGGTGGTATTTTTTTTTTCTTGCATTACTTAAAATATATACTCCCACTGCCTTCTGGCTTGCAAGGTTTCTGCTGAGATTAGCGTCCTAGAGCAGAGGGAAAAAAGTAAAGTACTATATAATTTTGGAGGGCATTAGATGAACCACTGCTTTCAAATATTTTCCTTGCCCACCTACATGCTACTGTTCTCTCAGGCAGAAGAAATTGTGAAATCAAGCTCCATGTTGCGTCTTTAGACGTATCAGCGACAGTCACTGTGCGGTCTGGAGTCGTGTGAATGCATGTTACCTGTGTGTGAAAGGATCGCTGAGATACTAGAGAAGCCCAAAGAGAATTGCCTAGTATAGTCATGAGCTAGAAATGTTGCAAAAATGCATGGATTCCTGTAGAGTTGTCTTGGATTGGCTTACTTTGGTACCATTATGCTATAGACGTATACTTCTATGTTCATCAATTTCAAAGATGGGCTATGTCACAGAATTTCCTTAATGTCTTGTTCAACACATAAATGTGAATATTTAACCAAAATTTGGAGGTAATCGTTTTTAACAGAGTTTACCATGTAGTAGTTTTGTTTTGTTTTTTTTTTAAACATTCTTGGAGCTTTAAAGCAGAATTTGACTACTAAGGCTATAAGAACTGTGCTGGGCCCCCATGGCATGGGCAAGCTCTTTGTGAATGGCAGAGGTAAAGCAGCGGTTTCTAATTTCTAATTTTCAATTTTGAAACTCCTTTGATGTCATCCATCCTGCAGCAAAGACCTCAGGAAACACTGACAAATCCCAAATGTGGAGGTCAGTGATGGCACCACCTCAGTGACTACTGTCTGCAGAATTTCTGAAGCAGGTGGAAACATGAGCAGGAAAGTTTAAACCCACAACCTCCAAACTTTGTGCGCTGCCACCCAGTTGGCATTTAACAAGATCAAAGCAGTTGCTGTGACTGAAGGAAGACAAAGCAGAGAAAGCTACTGGAAAAGTGTGCCACGACTGCGCTGAGCTCCAAGCTGATTTCCTAGCAGAAAACAATTGCTAAGATGCTAGTGGATGCAGTCATATGGTTGATTTGCTGAAGCTTAAAACTATTAAAATCAAGAAAGTGCAAGGTGGAATCTTTGAGGTAGCTGGTAGCTGGCATCACATTCAAAAAGACTTTAATACACTGGGTTTGAATTGCAACCCCCAAAAGTACAATAATCCAATGGTTACCCTTTTAATATTAAGTTCAAACTGAGAAAGATAAAGCTGAAGACCGAGTCCACATAGTCAAGGATTATTGATACATTATTATTATTAAGGTACATTATGACAAGTTAGAGTAGATGTATCATTTTGAAGCCTGCTGGTCTTATCCAAACTCCCCTTAGGGTTATGGCCACCCAGTACTTTGCTGACAGGGACATGTTCTGTGCTGAAGGATCTGAAGACAATAATTATGACATGTAGAGGTTCAATCCAGACCAGTGTGAATACTGTTAGCAGAGGTGCCTTGCCACTGCCAGGTCTTTGAAGAAACCCAAGAGGCAAGAGGTGCAGTTAATTCACTGACTGCAGACTTGCATCATCAACCTATGGAGGAAAGAACTGGCCATGCATGATGGCGTCAAGTAGAGTGACTGGCGGTGAGGCCACTGAGGTGCAGCTCCCTACGTACCTGTGGGATTATTCAAGGACTACTCCAGGGAAACAGCAGCTGTTGGTTGTGGCATTCTGCGGTCTTGGAAATGATCCCATTCCGGCTCCATGACTATGCTGGCTTTGATATCACAAGCTGCAGATTTGGCATGCCCAAGGAGGCACGCGGTATGGGGTGGACATCAACAAGGACATTGCTGACAACTTTGAGGCCTTTATGTGAGAGCTGGCCATGGTGCAGATCAATGCCATGACTGCAGCCTGTGTGGCGCGTGCCTTATGTCAGTAGCTGAAACCATCAAGTACTCTTGCTCAAGAGTAGCTGCTGGCTGGGACTGAAGTGGTGATTTACCCCCAAGATTGTGGCCACCCCCACTGAGAGGCACCGGCCCTCACAAGAGGGGCTGGCTGCAGGGTGTGTTTACTCTCCTTAGTTGTTAATTTTTATTACAAGGAAGGGTAGTAATTGGCCTCTGTTCTCACTGGAGGTTATTTGATTACAATTTAAGACTGGAGGGTAAAACAGGCTGTGTACATGGATTGTAAACTGTGGCAGGAGCAACTAGTTAAACTGGGGCAGTTAGAATCTATTCCCAAAGGCTAGCTCTGTCCTTAAACCTGAGGGTGGGGACCTAGTTCTTCCCATGATGTAACTGCAGTTAAGAATGCAAGAAAGGAGAGTCATAGTTCTTGGGCCTATGTGACTAAAGAGTGAGGGCTCTAAGTAAAACAGTGAATGAATTTTTTATGATAATGGCAGGTTTAAGAGGCAGTATAAAGACACCTGGAGAGGTGTAATTCTTCTTACATGCTTTTTGAGCAGGAAGTTACATTATTTTGTCTAGAGGTGTTTTCCCAGACCAGCTCTATGCGAGACTGGCAGAGGTCAGGACACATTCTTCTTTTGAGGAGTTTACATAGTAATTAACCAATGCAGTCCTGTAGCCCTTCCAAGTTGGCCTCTTCTGAAACCCATGTCAGGAGGAGGTGTAGCTCAAATGGGCTGTCAGCTCCCAGGGGCCAGGGATCAGGCCCATCGGGCTGTCTCTGTTCAGCTTGAGCTGAACTGATACATGCACTTCACATTTTTACATTGATAGTACTTAATTCTGAGATAATATTTCCCCTTTTTTAAAGAAGAAGAAAATGGCACAAAGAAAATAAGGTGCCACCTACCTTCTGACTGGCAGAGCCAGAATTCAAGTTCAGGTGTACAAGTTCCAGATCCTGTGTGCTTTTGCGCCCACCTTATCAGTTTTCCATAGGAAATGTGCGATGGCTTTTTATTGTGATGGCTTATCATGCATTGGCTTTTATTTTCTGAGTGTTTCTAATTAGTGCTATTCTGTTTTTTATTGAGGAAATTAGAAAACCATGAGGTGGGTAATGCCATTAAAAAGGGTTTCTTGAGAAATAATGTTCAATCTGAAATTTAAAGGGTCATCAAATACACTACAATACAAATACAATAGAATTTTAGCATAATCCTAGTAAGCTCAGAGCAGAATCAATTCAACAAAATTGATCTCATGTCAGCCAATTTTCTTTTTAAAAGCATTTTAAAGTAAAAATACTAAACTTTGTAAGTCAATCGCACAGCACAGATGGCATTATAAGGACTGTTCTATACATTCTCTACCAAAAAACAAGGCTAGGAGTGGCTCTGTGCCTACTAGATTAATTAGGTTAATGATCCTGTTTAAGTTTTACAGAAAATCATCATTACCTTTCTTTTAGCAGCTCATTATTTAATTAGACTCTTTGTAGGAAAGTGGGAACACCAACTTGTAAGAGTAAATTCCATTGGTGAGCGCACACAGTGGCGGTGGTCCTGGAGCTACGGAACAGCTTTGGTTTTGCACAGAATTTGGGTCCGCAGCTTTCCGGTCTGCCTTGCGCTGCTCTGTGGTAGATCTCGCCTTCTTGGCACCGGGGCTGACGCTGCTGCTGCTTGAAGTAAGCATCAGTGACATTTTGGCATTTTCATACCAGGGATATGAATTTTGGTGGAGGTGGCGATGACAATTTCTAGTGTGCCCTAAGCAGACACACTCGACGGAGGGACAGTGGTCCAGCCACAGGTAGCAAGCCGCTGCCCTGCTGCTCCAAGAAAATTACCCTTGTGCCTCTGCGCTGCCGGGCTAGGACAGCCAGGATGGTCCCGGGAGTGATGCACCTCACGATCTTCTCACGAGGGGCTTGTCCCCGAGTCTCAGCAGCTCTCGAGCTACATCGTCAGTGGAGAAGGTCAGGCGTTCTGCCAAGCTCAGCCGCCTGTGCACGGCCATTCTTGCCGCCAGCTGGTCTTGCGACAGTAGCAAGAACTTTCTCATTTTTCTTTTCAATCCTGGATTTAGCTGCTTGTCCCTGACCTGTGTGGGGTCTATGACAAGTCGGGAATATCTGCAGAGTCCTCTCCCTGGGACGGGCTTTCGGCTACGGTGTCCTTCTTGGGCTTCTTACCCTCGCCACCGGCATCAGCTCTCTTGGCTTCGGGTTTCTTCACTTCAGCAGCTGCCTCCTCAGCTTTTTCACCTGTCATGTTGCCAGATGGGAAAGGGAGCTAAGGCCCCAGTGTCTAGTCTATCACATCGTCACCCCTCAATAACAAAGGATGTGTTCTCATTTAGACAACTGCTCAAAGTCACTCAGTTAATAGGAAGCCATCGGGTACCTGAAGTAGGTTCTGCCTCCAAAGCTTTCAGTTATGCTATAGAGTTTCCTGAGAGAAATCACATGCTTAGTTTTTGTATCATCTGTAGCTGCTGTTAAAGTTGTTACTTTGTTAAACTTATACCATCTGAAATGAACATCTGTGTCCCTTCTTTTCCAGACTGTGCTGACACAGCTTGACAGCCACACCTTGAATAATAAATGGAAGACTTCAGGACATTGATCAAGCTAATATTCTAGTGAAGAGCCTCAGTGGGTCATGCTGAGTAAGAGATAAGGTGCAGCCGAACTGGTAAATAGTGTGGTGATGACCTTCAGATATCACATGCATTGATTTTTGTCAGGGCTAAGGATTCTGGTGAAAAGTCTTGAACTTTGTCCATTGTTGGGTTTGATTATTAATAGGACGATGGACTGGAGGGGCCAACTTGCAGAGATTATGGGAGCCTGGAAAGAAAATTCACCTTAAGAGAATGACCAGTCTGACAGAGCAAGCCCCATCTTCCCAAGTAGATGAATGTTGGAGGCAAACTAGTCTCAGGTATGTCCTGACCCAGCCAAGTTGGAGGTAGGTTGCACCTTGGGGGAAAAGAGAGTTGTATTTGTGAACCGAAAGCTGTGTCAGTAGATGCTGTAACGGTGGAATTGAGTCCCACACATCTGCACCCAGAAGGACTGTTCTCACCTCACAAGCATAAGTGTCCAGCATTGAAGCACAGTGGTGGCCCGGATCCACTGGCATGGCCTCTAGAACCCTGGAGTTGCAGCTCCGCTGACCAGAGAGCCTCAAGAGTGGTGACAGAAGTGGACCTCCTGGCCTGGGGGCTGGTCTGTGGAACTGTGAGGGCTTGAAGTTGCAAAAGCTTCAGCAACCAGAGCAGCCCATTTAGGGTCATGTGCACACCTTGAAGATCCCTAAAAATACTTGGGAAAGATTTTTTGCAGGTGATGACTCAAAGCCATGACATGCAGATATTAAGATAAAAAAACTTAATTTATACTCATGACCGACTTAAGACCAGGCAAGTTTTCCTTTCTGCTCCATTGTGAAATAGGTAAATGGACGGGATTTTTAAGACGCGCTATAAAGAAAGCAAGCAGTGAGTGCTTGCGTTGTCATTAAGGAATGGTTGCGCATGGCCCATAGTCTGCGCGCCACTGCTTTCCACATCACTGTGCCCACCGGCCGCCTCTCTGTTCCTCGCGCCCACACAGCATGTTCTCTCCTCGGGTATCCTGGGTTTGGCCCGTCCCTCAATCTGGAGCACACGCCCAAGCCCTGTTTCCTCAGATGCCCCACACACTCACCTCCTTTGCTTCCTTCTGGCCTCTGTCCAAACATCACCTTATCCGTGAGGCTTTTCCTGCCGCCTTCAGGACACTGGGAAGGCCAATACCAGTGGCTGCTTATATAAGAAAGCAACACCCACTTCTTGCTTTATGCTCTTTCTCTTGAAGTGCTGCTGTGTATTTACTTGTTTGTTTATTGAGTGAATCTTCCTCATTAGAGGTTCCATGAGGACAGAAACTTCCTGTTTTATTCAGTTATGTATCCCCAGCAGCCAGAACAATGTTACGTAGTACACACTCAATAAATTGGGCTGAAGAATGAGGGCCTCCCCGGTGGCCCAGTGGTTGAGCACTGGGTTGCGAAGCTGCCCGCAGCCTCTGCAGCGCTGGTTCAATCCCTGGCTGCTCCCCGGCCACCGGAGGAGGGTCCCACATGGGGCGCAGACCTCTCCTGCCGCCCGCTGCTCCCCTCAGCAGTGCACTTCGGTCCTTCTGCCTGCTCTGCTCCCCGCTCTGTCTCTGGTGAATTCTTTCACCCTCCCGCGCTTCTGACTGTACCCAGTGCTTTTATAAAAACTCGCACTTCTTTTTTTATTCATTCATTCATTCAACAAACACTTGGCTGTACTAGGTACCAGGTACTGTTAATAGCAGAGCCAAAGATGAAGATCACTTGTGCTCTTAAGTAGGTCACAATGTGAGGAAGGTCACAGAAAAGCAAACCTAACTATAAATGCAGTGTGGGGGTCTCATTGGGAGTGCCCTGGAGGAAACCAAGGAAAGCTTCATGGAGGAGGCAGTATTGCATTGACTCATGAAGGCTGAGGATGATTACAATTGTTAACATTTATTGAATGCTGTTAAACAACCTACAGATAGTATCATTTAATGCTGTTAGTATTGTTAAGTGCTGATACCTCCTTTATCTTAAGAAAGGACACTGGCTCAAAAAGGACCAAAGTCATAGAGGTGTCTTGGTGGAACTCAGAGCAAACTTGGTTCTTTCTGGTTCTTTATCTCAAATTTTGTGACCATGTGCTGGGAGGAGAGGAGACATAGTAAGCCGAAGAAACAATGGATTCTAAGGATTCAAACTCCATAGTGTGTTTCAAGACAGGGTAGAAATTCTAGGAAAAAAATAGTGTACTTCATTTAGAAGGTAGCCTTATAGGCCATAGTTTTCATACCTGTGCCTCCTGATTTCTTTCTCTTTCCTCCTTCCAGAGTAGTTTGCTTGTTTTTATTATAATTAAGCATCTGAATATGCTTGGATATGAAGTAAAAATTCCATGATTGAAGTAGTAGGTTGGGCCACGTGGTTGTGATAGCCCAGATAGGAGAGGGTCTGAGTGAGAGGAGAAACAGCAGGTAAGATCCTGAGAGACAGAACTGCTAGAACGTGGTCCCTATTGGACTGTTAATGTTGAAGAGGAGGAGTCTGAACAGGGCGTTAGTGGAATAATGGACAGGGACAGGGCCTGCAAGAGACTCCCTAAAGAAGTGGAGAAGATGAAGAAGAAGGCCTGTTTGAAATATGTGTGACTCACTGAGTGAGGGTGATGCCAGTCCTGGTTTGGATGTGTGAGGCTAGAGCTCTGGTTGGAGACACATAACTGACAACATCAGCTACTGGGTATTTCTTTAAGTTATTGTCGAGAAAGATAAGCAATGGAAGTGGCTAGAACCTTTGGGAAGACCAGCTGTAGAAAGCTAGAGATCTCGTACTCACATCTTTGAATGTGTATTAGTCTGTTTACAGATCATTTGTTGTACAAATAACTGATAAATAGATATCTAAACCAGAGGATGTTGTGCAATGTTCTTAGTTTAAAAAACTACCTGGGGCCAAGAGGTCTCCTTGTGGTGTTTTCTTCTGTAGATGTCTGAGCCAAATTCCCCGTGCTCCCCTCCTGACCCCTCCCCACTGCCTCCCTGCCCCAGGCTCCTGGTTCTCTGGTGCAGTGTAAATTGCCTGACTCCGCTACACCCTTGTACGAACCATGGGGTGAGAGACCCCCTGGCATGTTGAGACCCCCAAGCTCAACATGCAGCCTTGTGGGCAGCCTGCAGGCCAGCTTGGTGGGCTCCAATGGCGGTGGCAGTGCCTGGTCCAGTGGCATCAGCCTGGATGATGACCAGCATCATGGCAGCCTGTGCTTTGGCTGCTTTGACCTACACCCCCACAACACTGCAGGGCTCACCACTGGCGAGAGTATACTCACCTCAGTGCAGGTTGGGTTTGGAGTATGGATCCTACTCCAGTTTTGGAGATATGCCAACCAGGTTTGAACCTGCCCTGCTCCATTCAGATACAGCAGAGCCTGCCTTCCCAGCAGAGGTATGAATCCTCAGGAACTCAGTGCAGGTCGGATTTCACCTGCTGATGGGGGTTTTGGTTTTGAAGCCATTTGGAAATGGACCCATCAGGTTTAAAAGATGGGTACCCTGAAGGGGATATAAACAGGGTTTTAGGTGGCTTCAAACACACACTCATCCAGACTCTCACTCATCCAGTCTCAAAGTCTCTTTGAGACTTTGGTGGACCTTTGAAAGCTTCATCTCAGACCTCTGACTCTCGTCCAACCCTCCTGACAGACCTTTGAGACCTTCACATCTGATCTCTGCCTCAAACCACTGCCTGACCACTGCTCCTGCCTCCAACCTGTCTCTGATATCATCTGCTTACTGGCACCATTCGTCTGTGCATGGTGCATCTCTAAGAGCTGTAACACTGGTGGCTGATCTCACCACCTGCTTACCAGCGCCTACCAGCACTGCTGACCTGACCGGCCCTGCTGGCCTGTGCCTAGCCACCCCTAGGGCTGTCCACCACTTCTGACTCTCTAGCACCACTGCCTGACCACTGCCCCTACTGCCAGCACATAGGACACCACCTCCTGGTGCTATTGCATCTGGTGCTGCCCAGCCTGGCCTTCAGATTTCTGCTGCCCTACTGTGGTGCTACAGAGGTATCACCTGAGACTACCTCCAACTGCCACTGAGAGTTGGGTTCTGGTCTACCATGTATCAATGTGCCACCAGCACATGCGCTTGCTGTCTAAGAGATGACAGCATCTTGCAAATGCAGTCTTTGGTTTGGACTGCTGGACATTGTGGACACTATCTGGAGTAGGACAAATGGCCATTTTGGCCTTAGAAATCTTATCCTTTTTCTCATTTTCCCCATGGTAAATAAACCCCATTGTTGTTGCACCCTGAGCCTGAGTTATGCCTTACAATTGTAAGCTCACAGTTGAGGACCCACGAGCTGTGGGCTTTGCATGGTTTCAAAATGGCAAATTAGAAGTAATGCAGGGGTCTCTGTCACCCCTGACCCAGCTGATCCTTTATTTCCTAGTAGTTTCCATAGAATCACAGCCTCTGTGGCTTGCATTATCCACGAAGTGTAACTGGAAACTTGAGTACTGACTCATTTCCGCCGAGCCTTTTCTTAGCTCCCATACTCATGAGGGACTCAGTGTCCTGGGGGAACCCAGCCAGTGCCACCTAACTGTTGCCCTTGCAGGGACCCTGTGCTCTCAGAATGGTGCCTTTCCCACAGCATGCTGTTGGCAAGGATCTTGTTTGTTGACCTTTGCCAAATATCTGTGTCTACAAAGAGTAGGTTTTTCCTATACACAGGAGAAACTAGGAGCCAGGATCAAGGTAAGATGGAGCATCCTGACCACTCACAATCTTTATTAACCCGTCTTTGGTCAGCCCCATCATAGGTTCTGGTTGGGCAGGCGGGGGAAAGACTATATATTTACCCCAGGTCCCATTCCTGCTCAGATAGTCTTGGGCCACAGCGTGGTTGTAGTGAAGAAGAGAATTGGCCACTCTGCGTGGTGACCATCATCCATGGTGACCATCAGGGAACTGGGACCACTTACAGTGAAGAATGGAAGTGGCAAGACAGGGTGCTTTGGTGGTCATGTGACTCCCAAGGTCTTACTCCATTTTCTGCCACCTGTCAGCTATGTGGTCTAGAGCGAAAGTCACTGCACTCTTCTAAGTCTTTGTTATTTTCTTGAGAAGGAATTCCATGCCTAGTGCAGAGAGCGGATGGGAGAAGAATGCCCAGCACACAGTAGAGACTTAAGAATTTGGGCGACCTTATTGTGATTATTCCCCACTCATCTGTGCGTTGTCAATCTAGCCACTTAATTGAGTCCTGGATTAGGTGTTGTGTGACTTTGTAGCCCTTTCCTTCCGTCAGTAGTGACATGAGGATTATGCTCTAGAATTCTA